TGTTCTAAAACTGTGACACACTTAGTCGTAGTCTAAAGTATATATAAATTGAAATTAAGCTTCTTCCTTTCGTTGCCTTATTAGCACTCCATTAGTATCCTTGGCCCTTTAATTCCTTACGACTCTATTAGTAAGCTTGGTCCTTTATTTTTCTCTGCTAAACTTGTTCTTGTTTTTTCTCTCTTTTGTGTGGTTCTTGTCCTGCATGTGTTTTTTTTGTTTTTTGATTAGTATTTAATAATTCAAATGTGGTTACGTACTTTTAGGATTTTAGATTACCTGTCCTTCTGTAGTGGAGTTGTTGACTGAATCCATTACCGCTGCGTATTTCTTTTTGTCTCTTACCATTGATTTTTCCAAATTGTTGATGGTGTTATATTCTGGCAGTGGCATTTCCGAGAAATCCGTGAGGGACTTACCTCTTTGACTGAGTAGCATTTGGAGTTCTATTAGAACATATTGTTGGATTTCTTCATCTTCCAATTATAACTCTTTGTGGTGGAACCTTTTACGCTGCATGTGTAAGACATCCTCTCCAAGTTTTTTCCAACAATTGTTCCATAATTTGAGAGGGTGAGCAACTTGACAACATGATAAGAGTATAACAAATAATTCACGTAACTGTGGTGCGGTTGCCCATTGTGCTGAGTCGCTAATGGCTTCATACCATTCTTTATCACAATCAAAAGACCCATGGCCTGGCATTCTTTATCTTCTTGTACATCCATGGTGTGCAATCTGTGAGTAAGATAGACAAAAGAAGAGTGAACGGTTGAAATACTATGCACACATGAAGTTTGGAAAAAATAATTTTTTTTTTGGGTCAAAGAAAGAAACTATATATGCAATATGACGTACGTTTGAAGTTGGAAAGGATTTGTGAGGCGAGTAGCAACAAACGTTTGAGTGAATATATATGCCTTTTTTTTTTTTATCAAAGTATTACATCTTTTACATCAATTTTGCCTTTTCGTATTTGATAGATACGTTTGATATGTGGATCCTTTGAATTTAGACTTGATTGAATTGTTTGTTTTCAGTACCTTTAAAAAGAACTTTCGAGTGTATAATTAATTTATCACTATTAAATAGATTGACTGAATTGAAATGAGAGAGAGAGTGGTTATCAAAGTTTTCAACGTTTTTCAATGTTATCTTATACTCGAGTGTCATTTTAGAGTTAACTTTGTTTAAAAAAATATATCATTCTACATTTTCAATTTTTTTTCCACGTACATTTCCTATTTTACCATATATTAAAAGTTGAATCTATTTGAATTTAAATTATGGCCATTTAGTTAATGATGTATTAAATATGTACATTTTTGTATTTTTTGACAATTTTTTAACTGGCGTGAAGATAGTTAAAATGACACTCTTTAAAAAAATCTGCTTCGTCTTCTAGGCTCGCTTTTACTCCCTTGGCTTCCAATCTTCAACCCACAAATAATCTCATCGGAATTTCAATCATGAATATTTTAGAATTCAATGCCACTACGATGGCCGATGCATCTCATTAGGATCAATAGTCTCTATGCCTTGTTTTTTACTTGTCCTTTGGATTGAGATTATACAATTTTTTTAGTTTTCAATAATCCTGAAACATAGAATAAACATTAAAAGCCGTGCGATTCAATAACTTGAATCCGTGAAAACCTCATAATCAAACTCTGATTCCCAATTGCCCGACAAAGAATTATGATTGATAAATATCCGATTCCTCCCCTTAGTAAGATTTCGAACATAAATCAGAACAACAAAAAGCAAAAACTAGTCATATTATTATTAAGTACATATCGATCTCCATCTTTGTAATATATCAACCTAATAGGACTCGTCAAAATTCGGAACTCCCAAACCAATTCGAGAAAGAAGTTGACCAATCAGTTAAAAAAGAAAAGATATTCAATATTTATTGATAAAAACGTGGATGATACCTTAAGATGGCCAAATTAGATTAAGATCGATGAAGAAGAAGATCCGAGGATGTCATGATGCAAATTTCTTCCGACATAAATCAAACCAATTGAAGAAAGAGTTTGACCAATTGCGAAATCTGGGATTCTTCGTTTCATATACAGATTTCTGTGCATTCGATTAATTAAATTGGGATTTGCCAAGGCGTCAGTGGTGATTCGTCGGAGCTCTCCCATCGGTGTAACCAAATGGGACTAAAAAAGGAGCTGATACCTTATGATTGTCTGGTTAAAGAAGAAGGAGATCTTGATGAAGAGGAGGATGTGATAATCAGATGAGATGAACCAAAGCGTTTGATTAAAGAGGGATAGAGATCGGTCATCATGTGTCAACTAAAGTTTGTTATTAAATATAATATGATATGTATATTAAACAAATG